GCAGCAAATATTAACAACAGAAGCAGCACAGGAAAAAACTCGCTGCAAAAGGATTAAGAACATCAGTCCTGACCTTCTATCTGTGTGGAAGGAATTCAAGTGGCCCTCAGGAAAATGAAAGCAGGATTTATTTTAAATGGACCTTTTATGGAAATGACTGTGGTTTCCAGCTCGTCAGATAGACTCCATCAATAAATAGCCTTATTCACCTTGCTGTGCCTTTGAAGCAGGTATTGTTCTGGAAGTGTTGTGGCATATAAATTTTGCTAGGCATACTTTCTAACTATGCTGGTACTGCTGTAGAATATTAGAAAAGGCAATTGTTCCCCAGAAAGGTCCATAAGCTGTGATTTATTAATGAAATGCCAAACCTGGGAAACGAGGCAAAGGTCTCATGAGTGCAGGGTAAAGTAAATAGCATGACAAAGTACACATAATGAGTGCTAGCAAAAACAACAGAAATGTGCACACAAAGAGAAGATGCAAATGCATTCCTCTCCTGGATGGTACTGAACATTGTCAGCCAAGAAATTTAGTCTGAAAGTCACTGAAGAATATGCTCAGATGCTATCCACACATATAATCCACCAGATAAATGGCAATATGATGCCAATTACAGCACGAAATAAAGTCATCACAATATGGTATAAAATGCCTTGTCTTGGCTAAGAAGCACCATGCAGGGAAATTCAAAGAGGCAGCATCACCTTTAAAATTAGCTCTGAAATAAAAAACAACCAACTGTAGCATATGAGAGATCAGGATAATACATATGTCAGTCACATGCCATGAATATAACCTGAAAACCATCACAATTTCCTGTACCATATGTAGCCACATCACACAGGACAGCCAAGCACGTTCTCTAAAAAAGTTATATATGTTTATATATATATATCATATATCTATTATAGTATATTATATTTTTTTTAATTGATGTGAAATGTTAGTAGCATTCCCTCCTCAGACATGAGCAAACTGCTGCACATCATTATATGCTCCTGCTGAAGGAGCAGAAGGTGCTGTGAGCCACCAGAAGGCACCTTTACAATGCTGGTCACGGGCACAAATGTGTGAGGGCTGTCAGTATGAGGTGCAATACACTCCCACACTCCCCCAGATTGCCCAGGTGCAAAAGCCACTGCTTCAAGTCAGTTTTCCAGATCACCCTGCTGAATTAGCCCATTACACACACGAGTTTTCCCACTATCAGCCCTCCATATGTCAGGTACCACAGGGAAAATGGAATCCCGTCCATCACGTGCTGTGCACACATACATTCACAGCTAAAACTGTGGGACAAGCTGCTAATTAGGCAGCGACCTAAAAATGCCATGCAGAGTGGAGCTTCAGACATCTGAAGGGTCTTCCTTTCATGGTCATTGAATTATTATGACGTGTCAAAGAAATAACTGTCATCCTGATGATAATGCCAAGAACTGTCCTCCCTCCAGCTCACCAGGTGCTGCCTGCATCTTCCAGCAAAGAGAGGCAGTGCCATGGGCCCTTGGCTACCCCAGTGGCCTTCTGAAGCACCAGATTATTTCTCTGACCTTGTGACTGGCATGCTCGACATCCACTGAGAGAATGCCTCATCCGTTTCCTGGCACCTCTGTAATCCATCTGGAAGTCACACCACAACCATTCCTCATAGCCAAGGCTATCTTTGACAATGAACAATAAATAAATGTCATCCTCTTTTCCCAAATACTAAAATCCCTCCAGGGTGCAGGCACTTTCAATAGCACCCCCAGCCTTTGTCACATCCTCAGCACACTGCTTGAAGCCTGTGTGAGGACATTCACTGCAAAGAGTTGAGCAGAACAGGTCCTGCTTGGGGAGCTGCTCACAGGGAGCTCTCCAGCTGGTAAGTGAGAGGATTCACACTACAGAGGAGAAGTAACCCAGAGAATGGAAGTTATACCCAGTTAACAAAGCCAATTTTTTAAGTGACCTCCTCATAAGTAAAGAAGAAGACAACAGTAAAGGATGATCTCAACAAGCAGCATGAGAAGGGAGGCTTCTCTCTCCAAACAAACTGGAGAGCTGCCTTCTCTTGTTTCTGCAGTTTCCATCACTAAATCCCCATCTAGTAACAGACATGTTCCAAGGAAAGCACCCAAGGGTAGAAATCTTCCACTGTTTCTCTTTCTGAGGTATAGCAACACTCACAAAATGAAACAAGAAAGCTTTGTGCCTTAGATGTCCTTTATCAGCACCACACACACATGCCCAACAGAGTTATTACCCTAATCACAAACGTCAACAAATTAGCCCTGGTTAAAATTCAATGACAACAAAGGCAGAAATCCAATCCAGGCATTCTCCAATTACAGTCCACACAAAACATTCTGTGAGTCTCCTGTGAGTTTGTGTTATGGATGCACACACATCACCTCTTGCCACTGAAAATCAGTTCAGTGTTCACTGGACCAATGTCTTCACTGCTGCCAAAACAATTTCCACCATTTCCATTCTCTGTGCAGCAGAAAGGAAAGCAATGGTGCCACTGAGAATGAATATGAGGTTTCATTCTCTCTTACCCCTGCACACCTACACTCTAAAGAGAGAGGCACACAGACTGCATGCCTGTTCACTCTACAATCATTCCTCAGGAAATTACAAGCTATCTCTTCCAGGTGAGACCTTGCAATGAAAAAGGAGAGAAAAATGGCTGCCAAGACTGTTCTGTGTACTTCCAAAAGAAAGCAGAACATCTTACACTTTACCAAATGTGAGAAATCAACTGATACATCTTGTGCTGCCTCGAAGCTGGAAAGCACTGAGTAATAGCTTGTCTGGGGCTGGACTGAAGAATGGTCCTTCCTGGGGGAAGCAATAACCTATAAAAGGCCACTGCTGCTGCATTTGGACAGATGCTTTCCTAAGAACCCAATACAATGAACTGTGCCTGCAGTCCATGTGCCCTGAACTCCCCTCTCCCTGTTATAAAAGGCATTGTTTGAAGTCAAATGGCATCATTTATTTCCAGGAAAACTGCTGCTTCCTGTTTGCCTTCCTCGGTAATTCATACCACTCAGCCCAACACAACCACCTTCATACCACTGAAGGGCAGTACCACAATTCAGAGATTGTGGGAGTTGTTAAAAATAAAACAGAAATTCAGAAATGTGGAATTTCCTGAAAAAGAAAATATTTCCAATTATACTTCTAATTATGTACGCACATATGTGCCATCCCTCCAAGTGTCGAAGGCCAGGTTGGATGGGGCTCTGAGCCACCAGGGTCTGGTGAGAGGTGTCCCTGTCCATGGCAGGGAGGTTGGAACTGGATGGTCTTTGAGGTCCCTTCCAACCAAACCCTTCTGTGATTCCATACCAAGGGCTGAGGGAAACACATCCAAGGTGATCCCCAGGAACCATCACCAGCTCCACGCTCACAGCAGGTTTGCTGGAGGCTGCAAGTGCTCATGAGAGCTCTTTGTCAGGATGGTTCTAGTTTTACTGTATTAGATACAAAAGCAGATCATTTCAGATCCAATTCATCCAGTGTTTGGGGTTTTCAAGGCTAAACACAAAGGAATCTTTAAGATGAATTTCAAAGCCCAAATTCAGTGCCCAAGTTTCAGTGCCCAAAGAGCAAAATTCATGTTGTTGAACATTAACAGTGGTCAAGAGCAAAACTGAACTTCTCACAAAAAAATTACAATTTGCAGTTTCAAATTAAACAGTGGTATTCATAAATCCAGAGTGAATTGTTCTTTTTTAAAAAGTAATAAAAATATGATAAAATCTTTTTCAAGAAAACCAACAATATTAATCCTACATATAGTTCTGACAGCAGGAGAAGAAATAAAAAGCAAATAAAACTTCAATGAACATGGAATAAGATTTTTCAGAAGTCTGCAATCCTGGGCTAATGAGAATTTTATCATTAACTTTCTTGAGAACAGGATTAGGTCTAATACAAACAGTTCTGAATATTTCTAGCAGTGAGTAATGAAGGCAGGATGAACACGAGATGATGTACAACCTGCAGGTAGAACTGGTGAATACCTAATAGGGTGTTTTCCCATATTTGCCATACAGCATCTGTGAATGTATTATCTAAATTAATAACTCTGCAGTCTCAAACTGTTTTGGTTCATTTTCTGTTTCTTATCAGGAGCACAGGGAAGACTACCAGGGTAGACTGAAAATGTACATGACCTGCACATTTTAGCATAACAGGTATTAAAAACCTGACACCCTTCAACTATGCTTTTCAGCCATACACACATTTTAGGAAGAGAAACTTTTGTACTATTTCCAAAGTGACTACTGACACCTCTCCTAAAGAAGCCACCACAACTCAACTGAAAGAGAAACAGCTTGTTACTCCCTATGATCCACAAAAAAGACCCTTCCATGGAAGTGCATATCTGACAAGGCTTCTACAACCTCACTTTCACTTCTGCAATATGATTAATGGTACCTCTGAAATGCTGAATTGGGAAGTATGGCTTACCAACTGTATTATTTATGCTAAAGAACAATTTCCAGGTCATTTCCAATTTCCCACATTCCATTACTCTGCTGACAAAAAAAATCTCCTCATCAAGATGTATGCAATGTTTAGGTTTTAGAAGCATAGCAAAAGTGCAAATAGAGGAATCGATTTTATTTTCAAAAGGCTCTGCAAATGACAGTTCCCACTCCTGTTTGAAGTAAGTGACAAAAAGCTTAATGATTATGGGAGAGGCAGAGATGCTTAAAAACTTCAGTGGGGTTTGGATCATTAACAATAATTGAATGCGGGAGTCTGGGCCAAGCTCTGCCCTCAAATCAGACCAATTAAAGACTGAGACATTCAACTAGAGAGACATTTTCATCAGTTGAGCTTGCCTGCTTTAGTTATTACTGGAATGATTTTTCACCTCACTCCAGTGCATTCCAGAGGAAAACATGTGCTTACCAACCATCTCATCTGAAGACCAGGAAACAAAACACTTTTTGAATTTTTTTTCTTTTTAGGTTGTATTGCATGGTTTTTGGTGTTACCTTGAATGCAGCAATGCAGTGTAGGCTGAGCAATGTCATCACCAGCAGCAGGAACAGCGTGGCCAAGTTCCTGACATCCCAGATGGACTCCACCAAAGGGATGCTGCCCACCTGCCAGTCGTAGCACAGGGTGATGGGCGCCAGCAGCAGCCACGCGTTGAAGGCCAGAAGGTAGGAATAAGTTAAAAACCTGCAAGTGAAAACAGGTCTTGTAATACAAGGAATGACTGCCAGCACAGGAAACATCTTCCTTTGGCATTTACCACATACCACACAGGGGGAGGAAACAACAAAAAAAACTAATCACCACCAACAGGCAGCACCACACCTCTCTGCAAACAGAGATCTACCATAGGTGAGGGGCACTTCAACAGGTCATTTGAAGAAATAAGATCAGCAATATTTACATGTTTCTATACACTTTGGAAAACTAACAGAACTTCAACTCCTATTTGAATGTTAGATTTTTGAAGTGACTTTCTGCCAGTTTAAACAATAAATTAATAACTACACAGGTACATACATATATATTGAACTTTTACACACTTCACTGCATCACTGCTGCAATACAAAATATCCCTTTAGCTGTGTTTAACTTACAATTTAGAATTTCTTCTATCTGCACAGCCTGGAGCAATTAAAGTCAGACCCTTTTCTCTTTGCAAATCAAGGAACAGGGAGAAAATACAGAAGAAAGGAGGGGCAGAGTGATTCTTAGCTGATCCCATCACAGTCTCTTAGGGCTGGGGCCAGATTGCATGAGATGTGCCACAGAAGTGATGGGTAAGTAGGGATTTCAAATTGTTGTAATCTTCAATAACTGTTATTCTCAATAGAGAAGAAATTAATGGGGAATGAAAATGGGGAAAGTGCTTCCCTCTGGGAAGTATGCAGGGCTTTCAAAGGACTAAAAAAGAACAGCATGTGTGCCACTGGGTTAAAGAAAACAAGAAAAAAAACAAATCAAACCAACATCCCTCTCTGCCCCAGGCTTTTGCTCCTTGGCATCTACTTGCCAAAAAGTGCATCTAAAGTTGAAATAGTTTTAAGTACAAGAGACTGCAGATTGATTATTCCAATAATTGTGAAGTCAACCATGTAAAATTGTGACAGCCTTCAAAGAGACAAACCCATCCTTTGCTTGCAAATGGAATAGTCCAAATTGTACACAGCACCCACCAAAAATGGCAAATACTCAAAAAAAGGAAAGAATTACATTCCATCCTGCACAGGATTTCTTCCATCTGAGCGTGCTTCGGCAGCTGTTATCACACCCAGTTGCCATGGTACCTTGCAGGTTTATTAAAATGGTAACAAAGGATGGCAGAAATGTCAAGGCATGTAGACAGAGGATTGTCTCACTTGCCAATTACAAACATGGCCCTTTGTGGTCAAAATGCAGCCCCTTACAACAGCACTTACAACATCAGATTTGTGGCAGAACGGTAGGACACTGAAGCTAAGTGTGACTCCAGGCAGGAAGTTCCCAGATGGGTGTTGGGCCCTGAATTTATGTGAAAACATACTTAAATAACTACAAAGTGAGGGTATCAGTTTCTCTTCTCATCCAAAAAACAAATGTCTCCAGCAGCACAGTGACCCAAAAGCAAGGAGGCTTACTGAGCTGGAATGTGTCACTGTAAACAGTCACAGAGGCACATTCTCATTTTCCCACAGATCCTTCTCAACTCCCAATTCTGGGAAGTGGAATATTCCCACATTTTTAAGGTTTTCAGCCATTTGATACACCTCTCTTCCATCCCCTGCACTTTCCTCACCTTCCCACCCTGAGGTACTAAACAAAAGGGAAAGAAAGAAAATCAATCTTCTCTTAACAGAGGCAGCGATTAAAAAGCCAGTTCCTATTTAAGAGAGCATCCCTCAAAAACATAACCTAATTTTGCTCAAACAATTCTTAAATTTTGATTGTTCACTCTTCCTAAAGAAACAAATGTGTTTTCTAGTCACTAACCCTTCTGGCACACATTACAGAGAAACACAGCAACACAAAATCCTCTGAGAGTTAATCACACCAAGGCACTCACTCGTGACATTCTGTGTGCCCTGACCCACCTCTGCTCAGCCACAATAAAACACACTTCTCCATCACCCTCAGCACATCAGCTCAGAAAAGGCTGCCAGCATTTATTTACAGCTACTTACTTCAAAGCCAAACTGAGATCCATTTGGCTTTATTGTTCGAACAAAAACATGTCTATTTTGATGAATCTGGATAGTTTCATGGTATATGATACTGTTACTATAAGTATGTACATTTGACAGGATTTCCAGAGGCACTGAGTTAGTTTTGCACTTGATGCTTTAGGAGAGCCCAGTTTTTGGAGGGAGTGTCCTTTTATGCCCTGGCATATATTAACATTTTCACCAGGCATCACAATATTCATAGAAGTTTGTATGCAAGCCACAACACACACCAGAAAACCCTCCCCTGCTTCCTCAGACTGGGCTGCTGGGTAGGAAGGAACAAGATGACATTTGGGATCTCTGCAGCACTGCAGTTAAGGACAGACTAGCTGCTTTTCTGCATCTTCACTGATAAGGCAGGAGCTGATAGATCCTTACACAGCACAGAATAAATAAACAGTTTGCTGCCATAACAAATTGAGTCCACTCAATTTCAGAGGCATTCAGAGTAGCCAGATCAGTGTGAATTCATGCATTTCTGCTGGAAAGGTAGGACAGGCTGCTGTTGAAGATGGGAATACAACTCCAGGCCACTGACTGACGAGGACAGGTTTGTAAACAAGTGTTTATTTCAAGGGCTTGTGAGGTTTCAGTCCTCCTTGGGAGCCATGTGCACAGCTTGGTGCCAGAGGCAGCTCCCAAAGGAGAACCATCGCTCCACTCCACCATGGCAATAACTAGCCCTTAAATACTCCCTTCCAACAGCAGTGACATATTTTAAAGCCTGTGACAATCATCACCACCAGTGTACAGTCAGGTGGCTGGTCTCTGCAGACACCCTCCCTTGGCCACATCTCCTGGCAGAGCCAGAGCTCCCTCTCTGATGGTGTGTTCTGGATTGCAATGCAAGTTGTTTTCCATTACCATCTGTATGGCAGATTATCTTTTGTCAAGTGAGCAGTTTGCCTTATCTCTCTCTCTGAGTGACCACAATGACTCCTCTCTCAGGAGGGGACATCTGCTGATAACAGGCCATTGAATGCCCCTGCATGGCTGATAAGAACTATAACATCCCATTGGGAGATGCTCTGCCCAGAGGGAGGAACCAAGCATTGCTACCCAGATATACTCCGGAGGTTTTGAGACACCAGCACAGCTTCTCCACAGAATTTCCCAGAGGAACAGCTGCCTCTTCTTCCAATGGATCTTCAGAAGAAGAATCCATCCTTCTCTACAGATCCCCCCTGCTCCAACAGAACCACACCTGACACTCCAGGAGGACTGCAGCCACATTTCCAATTGGACTGCCACCAACACCCTGACCAACAGGGTGTCAGGTTGGGTTCTGACTCTGTCAGTGTTGTTCTAGTGTACTGCATTGTTTTTTTTATCCTTTTATTTTTTTCCTTTCCCTATTAAAGAACTGTTATTTCCTGCTCCCATATTTTTGCCTGAGAGCCCCTTAATTTGAAATTTATAGCAATTCGGAGGGGTGGGGAGGGTTTACATTCTCCATTTCAGGGGAGGCTCCTGCCTTCCTTAGCAGACTCCTGTCTTTCCAAACCAAGACATGGTGCATGTGACATTAGCAGTTATGGTACCGAGATCCATGGAGGCACTGCCTGACTTTTGGAGGCACTCAAAGCCTTCAGCAGGCTCTGAGTCAAGCAGAAGTTTGGATATGCCTTCAGCATTGGTAGCCTGTCCTTGAACATGATGGATGGCTGTATAAAATAAAGCATTTCGAAACTATCGCTATTCTGTACTAGGAACAGAAAAATAACAAGATGTTAATAATAGTTACTGACAATCCAGGGCTGTTTTTTATTTATGGCTCTCAAAAGCAGTTGATATTCCTTCTCATCTATGTGGCTGTCCTATCACAAGACTAAGGAGAAAGCTAAACACAGGAGAAAGTTTGGAAGAAACCTCTTACCAAAGCCAACACCTCAAGGAACTAATTTGCAAATTTTGAAAAGACTTAAAGATTCTGAAATCACTCCAGGAGCTAATTACATTTCAGCAGCCTACCTGCAAATGGCAACAAGAGTATTTTCTTCTAATTAGTTGACTGAGTGAATTACATTTTAAATTAATGATCTTCTTGATATTGCTTCTAGTGTCTGCCGGAATTCCAAAGGAGAAAAATTCCTGCCTGCCTCCCACTCTCTCAGTTAATCCCATGAAAATCAGGGTATTACTGGTGAGGTGACTGAAGATTCTGCCTCTTAACTGGCAAATAGTTTTCCCCCAGGCCAGGTAACAGCATTTGCATTGCAGCAATTTTTTTATTTGCAAAATGAACATGGAAATCCACATTTCGGTGGGTTTCAAGTGTTCTTTTCAATTCTCATCATCTCTGGCATGCTCAGAAAAACACAGTTCCTCCTGTAGGTAGCCAGTGTTGTCATGGCAATCCAGTTTGTTTAGCTTTCATTTTTTTCAGTTTCAATGTTCTGTTGCATGCTTTGAGATAAATACAGGATGATTCATATCTAGAACTTGTTGCAGAAAACAACTATCTGAACTGATTGTTTCTGCTGCAAAAATGAATGCAAAAGGGTACAACTCAAAGCCACAACAATATGACAGGAAAATACTTGAGGAATTGCTGTAATAGACACCAAGGAGCTTGGAAAAGCCTTCATCTCAGCTCTGCCAAACCCAGGCAATCAGAGCACAAGGAACCTGAGACTAGGTAGAAAAAAATACAAGATTTATAGAAATTTATGAGGCGTTTCCTGTCTTTTCTGATTTTGGAGCAGTTTAAGCTTTCTCCCCACAGCACCCAGGGATTATGGATTTCTTTCTAAAACTGTGCTACAAGAGTGATCACAAAGCTCTGCCCATGTCCCACCAAAGTTGCATGGAAAAGTGGGGGCCTATATGATAACAGTGATATTTTATATATATATATAAAAAATGTGCATTATATGTATATTATACATATAATTATAGACATATACATTATAGATTACATGTATATGTAATAGTGATACTATTTTTTTAAGTGCATACTGTGCTGCAACCCACCAGACACTCAGT